TGGACATGGCTAATGTAGGAATTTATCTTGCTTGTTTATGTATATTTGTTATGAGAATCAAAGATCAAATTGCCTGCCTTCTCAGTGCGAAGAGGGGAGGGAGGGAGAGAATTTGGAACTAAAGTTTTAAGAAACAAATGTTAAAAATTGTTTTCATATGTGATTGGGGAAAATAAATAAATGACTCAAAATTGACAACACTTTTAGTTTTCTTCCAATAAAGGATAGATAAGAGGGAGAAAAATAGACTTTTTAATTGAAAAAATTAAATTAAATTAAATTAAATCAGGGGGTTGGACTAGAAGACCTCTTAAGGTTCCTTCCAACTCTAGAGCTACCTATTAATGTCCATAAAGCTGCAGAGAAGGTGCCAACCTGCATTGGTAGAAGGAATTTTTTCACTTGGTAGCTCTCTATACAAATGAAATCACAGGTTGTCCTATCCCCTGTCAAAGCACTGTGCTAAACACCTGGGGTACAAAGAAAAAGAGAAGCAACACAGTCCCTGCTTTCTCTCTTTCTCTCTGTCTCTGTCTCTGTCTCTCTCTCTCTCTCTTTCTCTGTCTCTCTGTCTCTCTCCTTTTTCTCTTTCTGATTTCCCTACTTTCTGTCTCTATTTTTTCTCTCTTTCCTTTCTTTCTTCTCCCTCTCCTCCCTTTTCTTTCTGTTTCTCTCCCTCCCTCTCTCTTCTTTCTCTCTTACCTCTCTGAATCTGTCTCTCCTTTCTCTTCTCTTTTGGTCTCTCTGTGTCTCTCTCTCTTCCTCTCTCTCTCTCTCTCTCTGTTACAGCTGAGGAAACTGAGGCAAGCAGAGCTTATATAATTTGTCCAAGGTCACACAGCAAGTGAGTGATTGAGGCTGGATTTGAACTCAAGATGTATATGTGTTTATGTATGAGTTTCAGGTGAAAAGAAGATTCCAGCTCTAAATCTACAATCCTATGATATCATCATTTCAGTGTAAATAGTCACAGGTAAGAGGAAGTCATTTTCCATAAGTAGATGTAGCTCGAAAAATCCAGTCAAGAGGAAGAATGAAAGGATGTGAGTAGAAGAAGAAAAAAAAATAAGGAGAAAAATAGAGAAGGGAAAGGAACTTGGATTCAGGTCTTTAATTCAAATATGACTTCAGACACCTCATTGCTGTGTGTTATACTTAACCTCTGTCTGCCTCAGTTTCTTCAACTGTAAAATTACACCTACTTTCCAAGGTTGTTCAAACTTTGCAAACCTTAAAGATGATGATGATGATGATGGTGATGGTGATGGTGATGGTGATGATGATATGAGGCAGGTATGTAGTGCAGTGGATAGAGTGCTAGGCCTGACATTAGGAACACCTGAGTTCAAATCCTGTCTCTACACTTACTAGCTGTGTGACCCTAGGTAAGTCACTTGACTTCTGCTTGCTTTGATTTCCTTGTCTGTAACATGGAGATAATAATAACATCTACCTCCCAGGGTTATTGTGAGGGCCAAATGAGATAATAATTATAATGTGCTTAGTACAGTACCCAGCACATAGTAGGCACTATATAAATGTTTTTTTTTTTGTTGTTGTTAGATCTGATGAGACCAAAGGAATATGTCTCTAACTGGTCAGCCAGAAAGTCCATCAAAAAGCACTCTCAGAGGTATTACATAGGAGCACTCCAGCCATTGGTGATCAAACTAGGCCCTAGGGTAGGACATAGGAGATTTTGGAGTGTGACGTGGAAAAAGACTAGGGGCAAATATGAATGGCCCTTATACCTGATCCAAGCAGTCATGAGCACTTGAACCACGAGAGGTTCTTATCTGTGAAAAATGGCTATTGCTGCTGACATGCCAATGCTAGCATCATCTGATGAGTGTGCTTGAGGTTATAGACGACTAAAATTCAAATCACCTTAGCTGCCCTATCCCCCATGGACAAAACTCCATGTTAGGTGCCAGGGATGCAGAAATGGAAATCATTCTTGTCTTCAAGCAGGTTATAGTTTAATGGTGGCTAGGACGCATATCTGAGTAAGTAGGGCCCGGGGGAGAAGGGACTATCCCCAGGGAGTAGAAGGGGCACATTATCTTATTGATAAGGTTCAGTAAGACATTTGAGGAGGCAGAGAAAACTTTTATTTGGGAAGGAAAGGGAAGATTTCATGGAAGAGAAAGTACATAGGATGCCTTGAAGGAAGAAGGGGAAGGTAAAGAAACAATCAGCATTTGTATGGTGCCTACTACTGTGCTAAACACTTTACCGATGTTATCTCATTTGACTCTCACAACAAACCTGGGAGGTAGGTGCTATTATCATCTCCATTTTACAGTTGAGGAAACTGAGGCTGGCAGAGGTTAAATAATTTGTCCAAGGTCACACAGCAAGTAAGTGATTGAGGCTAGATTTGAACTCAGGTCTCCTTCACTCCATGTCCAATGTTTTGTCCACTGCACCACCTGCTACCTCTAGAAAGGAGAGAGTTCCAGTAAGTAGAGAAGGGGCAGCATGAATATGAGAATGTCTGCATGCAAGCATGAATGTAGGAGAAATATGAATGAAACTGAAGAATTGTCAGTAGTCCATCTTGGTCAGAAGATAGAGGCTTGAAAAGGATGCATGGTGAAATAAAGTCAGAAAGGTAGCTTGGAGCCAGACTGGCGAAAGCCATGAATGTCAAATTAAGAAGTTTGTGTTTTTATCGTATAGACCACAGGGAGACACCAAAGCCTTTTAAATGATGGGATGACAAGCTCAGATCTATGTATTTGATTCTTACTTTGGAAATTGTGTGGATGGAGTAAAGAGGGAGAGACTTTTGTTAGGGATCCCAATTAGGAGGGAATTATCACAGTCTAGCCAAGGGCTGGTGAGGAACTGGACCTGGTTGGTGTCTATGTGAATGACATGTCCCCTTCTGTAAAAGACCTTTCCTGGTGGCCCAGCTTCCAACCCCCTTGGATGCAAGGTCGCCTTGTGTTTGCTTGGTCTGTATCTTGTATAGATCTATATATGTACATGTTGTCTTTGCCATTAGAATGTAAGCTTCTTTCTATCCTCAGTGCTTATCACGATACTCGGAGAAGAGTAGGCACTTATTAAATGATTGTTGTGTAATGCGGGTGGGAGGAGCACTAATGCATTCCTCATGTGAAGGAGGCTGGGAAATCTGCTTCCAGAAAGGCATTATGATGTGTCGTGGAGTGCCTGGCTCCTCCATTTGAACATTTGCAAACATTTTGTAACTGATCCCAGGCTGTTAACTACTCTTCAGAAGAACACACCCACTGAGGAATGAGGACCACCCTTACTTTGGCCAGTGAGTGACTTTCCAAGGAGCTCCAGCTCTGAATAGACAGCCCATTCACACTCTGTCTCTTCATCATTTTCTCCCTAACTTTGGCAACACTTCGGAGCTCTTGCTTTATGTAGACTTCCACAGATGTGAGGCAAATGGTGGAGACAGAATGGTTGGGACATGGAAATTTATGGAAGGTGAGATGGGAAGGATTGTCGGATCGTAGATTCAGAACTGGAAGGGACCTTAGAGGCTATTTAGGCCAACTGTACCAGCTCAGAGTGATGACTCACTCAGCGTCACACAACTAGTAGATATTAGAGGCAAGATTTGAACCCAGGTCTTCCTGTCTGCACTCTATCATGTAGGCTACACTGCCTCCAAGATATCATGAAGGATCCAAGTCAGGGTGTGACTGGGAGGATGGTGGTTCTATCAACAGAAATCAGGAAACAGGGAAGAAGTACAGGATTTTTGAGGGGAAATGATGAATTTTGAACACATTGAGTTGGGGGTAGGGAAAGGGGAGGCGTGTGGTCAGAAATATCTGGGAGCCAAATGTAAATTTGAAACTAGAGCTTTGTTGTGAGAATGGGATTAGGTATTTAATTTGGGGAGTCATTTCCTTAGAGATGACCGTTGAGAGATTATATAGAAATAAGAGAGTCTGGGACAGAGCCTTGGGGTACATCTTCCCTTCTTAGGATTTGTGAGGGGTAATTGAAGCACCCTGGCTATATAAGTTGAAGGAGAAAGCAGCAACACCACAAACAAGCAAGGAGAGAGTATCAAGGAGGGACAGATGGCCACCGCCACCAGGGTTAAATGGTACAGAGAAATCAAAGAGTAAAGAGACCCATAGAGGTAGCATCCCACTGGTGGCCCCATGTTGGCCATATTATGATTCTATAGAGAAGGACCTGAAATATCACTGATAATCTCATAGGCTTAGAGCTAGGAAGGGCATCAAAGGTCACCTAATCCAACCCCCTCATTTTACAGATGAAGAAATTGAGGCCAGAGAGATTAAGTTTGGCTAATGTCACCTGACTCCAATTCTAGACTGCTTTTTTTGGTGCAATGGATGGAGAACTAGTCTTGGAGTCTGGAAGACCTGAGTTTGAATCCTGCCTCAGATACTAACTAGCTGTGTGTAAATCATTTAAATTCTCTGGTCCTCAGTTTCCTCATATGTAAAATGAGGCACTTGGTTGGACTTATGGCCTCTAAATTCTCTCCTGGCTCTAAATCTGTGACCCTATGTTCCACGCTCAGGTTTCTGGCCAGTATGAGGGGTCATGGCATAATCTTGATGCCAATTTTCTCTGGAGTAATCATTATAAAGGGCCAGAGTACTACACCCGCTGATTCTAATTGGATCATGAAAAATGATTCTTGGGCTTTGTTTGCCCCTTCCACATTAGCCTGAAAGTTGCTTGGCTAATGGTAAGTATTTTAAAGGGCAAACAAATCCACCTCTGAGTAGAGAGGCATTTCTTGTACATTCAAAGGTCTGACAGTTTGCTGATATTTAATAATAGCATGAAAACATCATTACAGGTTGCTGTTAACCTCCCTCCATGTCTCTATCTGTAAATGACATGCTGGGAAAGAGAACCTAGAGCTAGGGAAGGGGCCATGGGGGTGGGAGGAGTTTTCTTCCTTACATTGTGTTTAGTAGTTCAAATCCATGTACAGGCTGGATCATGTTTATTTCTTCTCCCTCCAGGGGATGGCCAGGTGGATTTTGATGAATTCATGACAATCCTGGGCCCCAAGCTGGTGTCATCAGAAGGTCGAGATGGTTTTCTTGGGAACACGATAGATAGTATATTCTGGCAGGTAAGACTTTTTGTCCCCCTGAGAGATTGTCTGAGCATAAGCATGAATGTCAACCTGAGTCTGGCTGTAGCCTGAGTTTTATGTTGCCTCCCTAGTAATAAGGCAGGTGTGTTACTGGTTGAGTGTGCATTGTGTTGTATACTGGTGCCTTTGAATGAATCAACTTTCTGAATATTTAAGGTTTTGGCAAAATATCTTCTCTATGCTTTTCTCTTAATTTGAACAATAGTGAGCCTTGTCAGTTATTCATATAACAAGAATGTATTAATCAAATATTATGCTAAACACTGGGGATTCAAAGAAAGGCCTTGCAGTGGATTTAGGATTTCCTTTTCTGGAGTCACATCCATCTATCCATCTCAATCAAAGGGATTTAAGAAAAAACCAGGATAGGTGTGTCTAATGGAAGGCTCTGTCTCTGATGTTGGCAGCCAAGGAGCCTTGATGGGAGAGGTTAGGTTGATGATGGTGGCCAAGGAGCCTTGATGGGAGAGGCTGAGCTGATGATGGTGACCAAGGAGCCTTGGTAGGAGAGGCTGGGTTTGAGATCTGACTCTGACACATAATATCTGTCTGACCATGACTAAGTCATGGAACATCTCTTACTGTTTCCTCATGAATGAAACGAACATAACGACACAGGTATTGTCTTCTTTATAAGAAAGTGTTTTATAGTTGTCTTTCCTGGTATCAGCCACGCCTGGTTGGGACTTGTTATTAACTTCCCCTTAATAGAAAGTGTTATGGCTTCCTCTGTGAATTTATCTGATTGCTTTGTGAATTCCTGTTCATTATTTAATTATTTATTATATAATTATCCTGTTTATTATTACATTCTTGACAACCTCTTGAGGTTCATGACTTTTGCATGCTTGCTAGCTATCTGTGTTGCTATATATTCTTTCATGGGGACCAATCATGTAGACTTTGGTTAAAGTGTGCCTTCCTTCCGTTCTCTGCATCATTTGTGTGGTCCTATATCAGATCTCTTATGAGCCTTTGGCTTTTGTGACCATAATGATAGATATGTGTCAATAATGACGTCACCTTTCAGAAGTGGTTTCTGGCATCTTTTTAAGGTTCTTTTAAAAAAAAATCTCTTCTACTGAACATGAGCACATATTGGCTTGTGACTCTTGACAAGTCACAACATCTCACTGTTTTGGGCATCGCTGTAGGACTGTAAGCCTAAAGTGCCAATCACTACTGGTAGATGGAGTTACTTCTACCAAATAAATTACAGGTGCAGTCCTTATCCCTGTCCCTATCACTATTCCCATCCCTATCCCTATCCATTAAACCAAAAAAAGAGGCAGTGTTTCATAGTGGTTAGAGCACTGGGCTTTAGAACTGGGGACTTGGTTTTAAATCCTGTTTGAACCATTTATTGACAAGACCTTGAATGTCTATGTGCCTCAGGGATCACCCTAGGACTTATTTACCAAGTCACAGACTCAAAGACTTGAAGCAGATGGGACCTTTGAGGCTATCTTCTGATAGAAGAGGAGCTTCATTTTTGCTCTGTATCCCCAGCACCTAGCACACTGCCTGGTACAGAGTAGGCACTTAATAAGTGTTTATTGATTGATTAATCTGGTCCCAGTCCCTCAAATGATAGCTAGGTTGAGTTAAAAGGTAGAGGAAATTCCCAAATTAGGAGTTTGTTAGGTTGACAAAAACTGCTGATCCTTTTTATATTCATATAAACAAAGAGAGGTTTACCAGAATTAGATTGATCGAATTTGGTGCTAACTCTTCTCTGTACTCACTTATCAAATCACTAAACTAAACTTACTTTGTGTGCAAAAAACTGTGTGAAATACAAAACTACTAGTCAATCAGTCAATGAGTATTTAGTAAGCACTTATTATGGGCCAGGCACTCTATTAAGCACTGAGGATAAAAGGAAAAAGTTCCTGCCTTCAAAGAGCTTCCACTCTAGAAAGTAAGTCAACAGGTGCACATGAATACATCCAGAATATATGCAAAATGAATACAAAATCTTTTGGAGGAGAAGCTGCTGGCAGTTGGGAGGAGCAAGGAAGGTTTCACATGGAAGGAAGAGCATGAGCTGAGTGTTGAAGAAAACCAGGTGGTGTAAGAAGAAGAAGAAGAAGTGAGAAGGGAGAATATTTTAAGGGTGAGAGTCAGTGCAAAAGTTTGGAGATGAGAGATGAAGCATTCCACATATTATGTGCGTGGAATAGCAGGAAGGCTGGATCATGGATTGTGCAGAGGGTGTTAATATGTGTGTGTGTGTGTGTGTGTGTTTTTTAGGCAATTGGGGTTAAGTGACTTGCCCAGGGTCACAAAGCTAGTAAGCATCAAGTGTCTCAGGTCAGATTTGACCTCAGGTCCTCCTGACTTCAGGGCCGCTGCTCTATCCACTGTGCCACCTAGCTGCCCCCAGAGGGGGGTTAATATATAAGAAGATAGGGAAGATAGGAAGGGACCAGGTTGTGAGGAGCTTCAAGTGCCAGACTCAGAAATTTATATTTCATTCCAGAGGAAACGGGGAGCCACTGAAGTTTATGAGTAGGGGCAAGTGTGCGACATGATCAGACTTGCAGTTTAGGAAAATCACTCTCCCTATGTGGAGGATAGATTGATGTGAGGGGAAGGGTAATTAAGAGTTCATAGTGCTAGGCACTATGCTAAGCCATTTTGAGTCGCATCACAACCCCGAGAAGTAGTTGCTATTATGATGTTCATTTTACAGTTAAGGAACCTAGCTGCCTGAGAGATCATAAAGGATGAGAATTCAGAAAAAGACTATTATATTTGGCAAGAGATCACAGGTAACTTTTGAAAGGACAGTTTTAGCTGAATGATGAGGTCAGTCTCTAGATCTCAAAGGGAGAGAGAAGTGGAGACACTGAGCATAGAGGGCCTTTTCGAGGAGTTTGAATGAGAAAGAAAAGAGAGGTATAAGACTAAAACTAGCAGGAATGGTAAGATGTAGTAAAGGATTTTTGAGGAAGGGGAAGATATGGTGAGAAGGCAGCAGAGCAGGGACCACTAGATAGGCAAAGACTGAAGGTTAGAGAGAAAGAGTTGGAGGTGATAGTGTGGGCAATAGGGTTTATTGTCACTGAGGTGAAGGGCCATCTCTTCCACAGAGACTGGAGTATAAAGAGGAAATAATGTGGGAAGATGTCAAGGGGCTGTCAGACAAGTAGGAAGGCAGGAGAGAGACCTCAGGTCAAGGACATTTGTCTTCGATTTTGGTGAACTATGAGGTGAAATCCTCAGCTAGCAGAGTAAGGGAGAAGCTGTTCTGTGAGAGCCTTGATGAGAAGGCAGAAGATTTGGAAAAGCCGTAGTAATACGTGGCATAGAAAATTAATTAGGAGAAGTGGAAGGATTGCCTTGCTGTACTGAGAGCCCAGCTGAGATTATAGAACATAAATTTGTTAGCATTGTTGGGACTTCCTTGAGCTCTGTTAAGTATCTTGTGAATAGGAATAAAGAAGGCATATGGCGGAAATATTATAGTTTTGGGTTTTGGTAAGGAGTGAGTAGTGATAGGACAGAGGAACATGGAGGAAGTGAGGAGAGTGTAGCCGGGCTATACTACAGGGATGGTGGCCTGGAAAATTACTCAGTGGTAGAGGGATTGGAGGTCATGCTGAGGACAAAGAATAGGTTTAGAAGGAGTAAGGTACAGAGTAAGATAAAATGATGGATTAAAATCAGATAAAGGAATGTTGGATTTGACCATAGTTGATCATTGATATGTCTATCATAAAAATGGACCACTTATGGATGAGGGCAAGATCAAGGCTGTTACCATATCTGAGTGCAGCTGAGGTGGAATAGAGGATCATGGGAAATGAGTAGATTGAGGAAATGGGGATGTTGAATTGGAGTATGAGGGAGAAAGGAACTGAGCCCAGCACTGAGCTCATTGGAAAAAATGGGGAGGCGTAGGGCTGATGGTAAATTTGGGTAGAATGAACCTCAAAGGAGGAGAGATTGCTGGGTGATAGTGGTGGGGAGAGAGCCTGGAAGAGGACACTGAAATACACGAAGCATTGAGGACGTGGAAAGGAGAGCAGTCCATTGTGGCGAAGGTTCAGAATGGTCCAGACTCTTGTCAGCTGAGGCTCTCCTCAGCTCAACTGCCCGTCTCGACTTCGAACGTTGCCCACCAAATAATGGAAGCCTTTCACCACTCAGTTGCCTTTATTATGATGTGGCTAATGGCAAGAACCATTGGCCAGTGCCTTCCTTCCAGGCTGCTGCTCACCCAACTCTGGGCTGCCACTTAATTGACTAGCAGGGGGAGGGTAGAAACAGTCATTAATTCTCACCAGACAGCCTCCTTCATCTCCTCTCCCACTGCCTGTCCGTAAAAGGACCGCATGAGATATAGCGTCTAGTCCTGCCTGGAAGAATGTCAGGTTGCTGGTGCTTGAGTGAGTTTTCTGGTATTTTCCCCTAAACTGCTTCCAGCAATGGTAAAAAGATGGTGGTTATGGAGGAGGAGGAGGAGGAGGAGGAGGAGGAGGAGGAGGAGGAGCTGCAATAGGAGAAGTTTTGCCACTGGAACATTTCTTTCATGAGATGGGGGAACAGGATCTGCTAAAGTGCTTAGGAAAGCAGGACCTATAGGGAAAATGCTTAGTGTCATAGAACTTTCATGACTACAGAAGGCCTTAGAGATTGCATGGTCTTGTGGAAAGAGCATAGGATTTAGAATCAAAGGACCTGGGTTCAAATCCTGGTTTTGCTACTTTCTAATTGTGTGACACTGGACAAGTCACTTTACCTATAAAATGAGAAAGCTGGACTGGATGATTTCAGACAGTCCTTCTAGCTCAAAATCTATGATTCCCTCTCTAGGCCTCAGTTTCCTCATCTGTAAAATGAAAGCATTGGAATGGATAACCTCTCTAAGGTCCCTTTTAGCTCAATGGTCTTGCAAAATCAAGTCACAGAATCACATAATGACTTGAGCAGGAAAATAAGTCTGGCAATGTCATGAAGGTTGAATTAGA